TTTTCATTCATTTCAGGTGCTGTTATCTAGTTGAAGGGGACCTTTAAACATGGTGCACATTAGGGTCAATAGTGTAGAGGTATCGAGCATGGATATCATGGGAGAGAACAGGTGATGGTACTTTTCTGAAGCTCTCACATTTATCATGAGTCACATAATGTTTGTTACTCTCCATCATGCATCTGAAGGACAGTTCATCATTTCTGAAGCATGGATTTATTCACACCAAAATGAAACACTCTTTTTGTTTGATTCAGGCACACTTTTTTTGTGTGAATAATCCATGTTTCAGGAATTATGAAACGTGCTTCAGTTGCATGTTGGGCAATAAAAAACAATGATAAATGTGAAGTTTGGGAAACCACCAGGTGTGTCGCCAACCCTGCTCTCCTGCATAATATTCATACACGGTAACCTCGACAGTACTGACCCTGGTGGCCGCAATAAAAACATAAAAACAACACAAGCACATGAAGTGATAGACAAAAGGACTTTTATGAAATAATCAGACGTGCTTGTGTGAGTGCGTCATTGTGTGTGTATGAAATAAACGGCACACCATATAGTGTGTGTGTGTGAGCGCTCAAAATTGTGTGTGTGTATGGCAGTGTGTTTGTTTTGTACCTTTGGCTCTACCTGGTCAGCCTACGAGTACTGTGAGCTGTAATTTGATTAGAAAGTGGGTGATATGTGTGAGCCGTTTTATTAGTCCACACAGGTACGGTGTGTTCTTTGAATGTTTCTGAGCTAGACTAGAGTGTGAGGGAGTTGTCAGTGTAGGGACTGTGTGTGTGTGTGTGTGTGTGTGTGTGTGTGTGTGTGTGTGTGTGTGTGTGTGTGTGTGTGTGTGTGTGTGTGTGTGTGTGTGTGTGTGTGTGTGTGTGTGTGTGTGTGTGTGTGTGTGTGTGTGTGTGTGTGTGTGTGTGTGTGTGTGTGTGTGTGTGTGTGTGTGTGTGTGTGTGTGTGTCTTCACACCTATGTGTGTGTGTGTGTGTGTTTGTTTCAGGGTTGCTCAGTGTACGAGGAGATTATCCCTGTGGGAGAAAGACTGTGCTCTCATGTGTAGCCAACTGTGCTGTCTGCTACATCACACACACAAACCCACAGACACTTTCGAACAAATGTTGTGCTACACATAACACAGGAAACACACATTTTGTCTTTTACTTTATCACATTCACAGATAATGTATTCTCTGTCTCTTTTCCATTGCTCACTTACTCCAGCACTTCTATACCAGCAGCAGTCCTCGTCAGTCCTCAGGGGTGTGTGTAGACAGTGGTGTTGTGACACAGACAGACAACAGCGCAACCTTTACATTGAGGGCACGTGGCTTGATGTGGTCTCGGCCCAGGGAGGGACTGAATGAAGCTGACAAGTGAGAAGAAGAGTCAAGACAGGGAGGAAAAGGTTCAGCTTGGCAGGGAAGTCCTCCTTTGGTTTCCATAGCAACAGTCATAGCACTATGACCACAGCCCATCACACTCCTAGCGAGCCTTTCAGTTTATGTGTGTGTGTTTACACACCCAACCCACGGAGCTGTCTCAATCAAGTTTCCTGATATCACTGTAAGAGACTAGATGGAACATCATCACTTCATTGTCCCATCAGGAGGAATTTATTTATCAAGTAACTCGCTTTGTGAGAGAAACCCATACCTCGCTGCAAAGGAGACATCTTCAATGACAGCGCACCCCATTGGCAGTTTCGTGACATTAGAAGTGCAGATGGCTTCCTGCACAAATGAGCGTCTAAATGGCTACGCGCAGCACCTGGGACACATTGAGACGACCGCTGATTGTGAACATGGGGCTCATTGAGACAGGATGGAGAGGCTGCAAACAACTCTACATGTTTGCCTGAGTAAATGCTTTTAGGAAGTCCTACAGGGAAAAGAGTAGGAGTGTCTTGTCTAATGGAATCGATGTCTAATGGCCAAGATTAGAGTGAGGATGAAGACAGGGAAATGTAGAGTTGTGGAGATGTCCATCGTTTTAGCCCCTTTAAACGGGTACATCTCTTTGTGTGAAGTGGTTCCGTTCAGTCACTGTGTACAGGTGCTTTACAGATAACCGTGGGCTATATATTAAGATGGACAGAGCAACACCCGCCTAGGAGCAAAGCCAAAATATCTAGAGTTCCCGCTGCTGACTGGCTGTAGTATTGGTAAGAAACTTTGCCTTCTCTATGATAACAGATGGGACATGGGTCAAACTATCAAGTGAACATGTGAAAATAGATGTTGTCCTACCTGAAGTCTGACAGAAATCAGCTCAATAATAACACCCATGACAATCATTCAATCAATCATTACAAAGAGGATTAACTTCGCCTGCATACTCAGCTGCATAATAGTTCATGTTGTTCTCTGATATACACATTTAAACACAATCCAAGTTACATACTACAATGATTAATTTTGGGTTTTTTATATTCCACTACAATGCAAGAGACCTTCACTCAATACCATGCTTGAATGCACCACGTATCACAATGATGTTTCAAGTACATTTTGACAATAGGAAGCTGACAGTCTCGATGGTTGGTGTCATGCTAGTATAAGATTTGCTTTAAAGGATACATCAACTGGGACTGGAGCCATAGATTTGTTGGATTTTTCAAATAATCTTCACACTGTTTATATGAGTACATCATCTTTATGAATTATTTAAGATTGAAGTAAAGAGGTGAATGCCTAAAAGTTGAATCCTTTCTGGTTGTGATTACATGATGGGCATTTTCTGTTTTGTGTCTGGCTCTGATAATTCATCAAACTGGCCCTCTGTATTTATATTAGCATCAATACAGTTACCCGTAGTCCATCATAAGAATGTCAGTTGTCTCTAGGAGAACTTCACCTGAGATAAGATGTATCACTGAACCGTGCTCCTCAATCCATCTCTCTGTCTCTTCCTCCCCCTCCTCTTAACACTTCCTTCTGTGGTCATTGTTTATGTTGTCATTCCTCACTCTGGCATGAACCAGGGTGTTGCTTGGCGAATAGGAAATCTCATGTTTGACAGGAAGCTGCCTTAGGGACACACAGGGCAGTCCCCTTTAGCTTTGCTCTGCAACACCACAACATGAACATTGCACACATAAACACACACATTCACAAACTTGTCAATAATTTCACACATTTAAATTGTTTTTTTCTTCAGTAATGAATTCATCAATGATGAATTGGCATTGAGTCTTGTATGTGCTGGCTGGACATGTGAACCACAAATAAATATAATCCCTCCATATTCTTTTATCGATTGTTGACAGGAGCCTATGGGCAGACACTGAACCAACAGAAAATATTACTCCATTAAGGTTATGTTGGTTTGTGCAAATGCTCACTATCTAAACTGTGGTCTATGTCATTTGAGATGCCCTATTGCTTCTATACAAGTAAATATAAAAATGTAATTTTAGTATAGTGGCAAAAAGTGGGTTCCAGCCCTTTTGAAGCAGCAGGTTTCAAGCCTCAACATAGCTTCAAAAATGTCACTTTCAGCTTGTTTAATTCTGTTTAAAAACACAGGAAGACCAATCACACGCCACAAAGCCTGCAGCATTTCCATATTTGCACACTTAATTTTCCACCACTTGTCCACCCTTCCACAGATTTGAATGAAACTCAGTGTGTGTCAAATAATGTTAGATTCTTTTTACCTCAGCTCCTGCCCAAACTTGAATAAGTCAGCTTCACCCTAAAAGGACTGGTAGTACAACTCACTCTTCTTTACATCATTTAACTCATATCCTCTTAGGCTTCATCTCTGAAATGAATTCCAGAAAGAAACGTTTAGGTTGAAAACCTTCCAAGAAATAAAAGGAAATAGACACAATATCATTACCTTCATATAAAAGACATGAACTATTCATATTAAGATTTTCTAAGTCTAATAAATTATTACTCAAATTAAATACTGACATTTTCTTAAATTCATGAAATGAAACTTACTGTCGGCAGCATTTAACTCAACACAGACCGATTATTTCTAAATAAAGGAAATTGAATCAAATCTCAACCTCAAATAAATCTAATAAATTGAACAATATAGGCCAGCTGGTGTGCATGAATACAAAACTTCATTAACAGCATTCCCAACACAAACATCAAACTTGAATCAAAATGATAGTTACGGACGTACATCTCATACAAGCACGAGGATACTACTTATCCTTTTTGATTTTCAAAATCGTGAAAATCTAAATTAGTCACTTTTCAGCTTTTTTGAGACCGTAAGCAGTGGCCATTAGCTTGCTGTGGTTCACTTCTACATACTCCTGTCAAACGTAGTCTGCAGTATTCAAGACGTACTGCATACTAAGCCCTGAACACCTGTACCAAGATTTATGATGATTGGACAAATTGTGAACAAGTTATGGCCATTTCTCTGCAAAACGCTCCTACTCTGTAAATTCTTGCAACAGAATAAGATCCTGCTAACAGTCATATCTATCGTTTTTGTTTATTTGTAAGATCCCAATTAGCTGTACCTGAGGGCTCAGATATTCTTCATGGGGTCCACATTAAAAGAAACATTAACAGGGATATAAACATGTACATTTCAAAGCATAATCAAGCGCTATAGTCCCTCACCTTCACTGTGTATCTTACTCACGCTTCAGTCATCATAACATGAATTGTTCCCTTCAGTACGGTCTCAAAATGTAAAAACATTCACTAAATGTGTTTGACTTAACTGTTCTCTCATGATTGGTAAAATAAGTTAACAAATACTTAGCTTGCTGATTGAAGAAAATGAGACAAAGTTTATGAAAAAGGTTACTATTAAATTCATACAGCACCATTTTCTATCATTAAAACTGTATTTATGTGTGTTTTTTATTTCATTGGAGAGCTTTATTCTGCCTTTAAGCAGCGTTGGGCTTCCTAAAGTAATTGTAAACTAGCAACAACAAAATGTGCACAAAAGAAAAAATTACACTGACATATTTAACCAACGTCTTTTCTGCCTCTGATACTCCTCTTTCCCTGTTTTCAGGTCTTGATGCTTCTTGACAATGATGCAGACAATTTCCTGAGCCAGCGTCTGCCTGCACTCGCCTCCATGACCCAGCAGGGTGGTGTTGCCACTGCTTACGTCTGCCAGGACTTTACCTGTTCTCTCCCTGTCACTGACCCCCAGGAGCTACGCAGACTGCTGCTGGATGGAACCACGGAGATCCAAACAGAATGATGGTTAAAGAACTGACTGACAAAGAATGAATGAAAGGCTTGTAATATTCAAAGCCTGGACTCTTTCAATGTGCACCCTTAGCCTAGCTTATTTCTGCTGTTATTGGCTAGTCAGTCAGGCTTGCAAGAATAGAATACTGATGCTTAAGAGAAGAGAAATGCTACATGGGTAGAAGTTGTTACAGTACCATGTTGTAACTGGGGCTTCTTCCCTCTTTAAGACCTTTAACTCCAGCCTTCTCTTGGTAGAAAGACCAGCTAAGTGTAACCTCACTTATCAAATCAAGTTTTTTTTTTAGCAGGCTTTAAAGAGCAATGAAGAAATATGTACATTCAGATAGAAGTCCCACTTATAAAACTTGTCTGGTGGTATAGAAATAAACTACAGACTGCTAATAGGCACCAGCGGAAGAACACTGGGAGTATTTTACAGATGAACTAGTCGGCCATGTTGTCCCCTCCTAGCGCTGAGTTCAAGTATCACAGGGATCTTCCAGTGGAGACCTATAGACCTGCAAGATTATTTTTGATATCATAAATTATGTAAGATATGTTTTTTGTGATATTTTTACAATATAGTTTTGTCTCATCCCAGTTCGGGAAATGTTAGCAAAAAACGAAGTACGTGTTTCCCAGCAAGTCCTATGGATAGAAAACCCCCACTTGTGTGCATTCTTTTTCCTCGTCTCTTCCACCTGCAGGCTCAATAAAGGCGTGTGATGCACTCAAACGAAGTGACTGTGTTGTAATTCATATTACATGCTGTGTGTATTTGAAAGCTAGAGAGACAGATGCACTGTTGATGTGAGTGAGGGAGTACATCTCAGACTGCCCTGCTCTGGTCTCTGGCTTAGAAAAGAAGGGAGGAGATACGTTGAAAAAAAATAATGTTTGACTCTCTTAACCCTCACCTTGCCTGAGGAGTAAGATGCATCTACATCCTGTCCAACGCCATTATCTCTGGTTGAACATCTGCTATCATTTCTTTCCCTCCTCTTTTTCTTTATTCCTCTACTTCTCTACTCTTTTTACATTTAGAGAGGTCCTTGTTGCCGCCAAAATGAGAGAGCAGTTGTGAAAAAAATCATAAAATGAACAAGGAGGAGAAGAGGGCAACATGGTAATGACGCAGACAGAGATAGTAACGAGGATCCCTAGGTTCTGTTTTAGCTCTGGTGTGTCCGTAATCTTCCTTTTCTTAATCCTGTCACGGCCACTTTTTTTATTTGTTGTTGCCCTTTTTAATGCATTTCAACGTAATTCCTCCTCACTTCTATACCTCTCTCTTCTCCTATCAGGTTGGGACCCCACAGTCTTTGTCTCTCCCTTTCAATCCCACCCTGTTAGAGTGGCTGTCTTGTTATTTATTCAATCTTCTTACTCAAACAAATCCATCATACTATTTGTTATGGCCTCCACTTACATTCCATCACTCCCCTCATTATCGTTCTGCACTAATTGTTTTGATGTGCTGCACAGGCTAAATTTTAATTAGAACTTAGATTAGTGAGTGACCCTGGTGAACCAGTTGGCCCATTAGTGATGAAGCTGTACTCTATCCACCACAGATTGCAAAGTTATCAGTCAAAGTTTACTTGTAACCATAGGCCATTTTCAAAGAAACAAAAAGAGAACAAAAATAACATTGAAAAGTTATTGTCTGATGCTTTTGAGCTGATTTTTTTTATTTTCTTGAAGATGATTTAGTTCTTCGTAGTGTGACAGGAGCCTCCCTGTGTGGCGTTTGCATGTTCTCCCCGTGCATGGCTTCTCTTGTGTTACTTCAGCTTCCTCCCAGTTAGGTTAATTGGTGACTCTACATTGCACGTTGGTGAGTAAGGCAGGTTGTCTGTCACTATCTGTCAGCTCTGTGATTGACTGCCGACCAATCAAGTGTGTACCCCGCCTCCTGCCCAGTGACAGCTGGGATCCGCTCCAGCCCCCCTGTGACCCCGAACGGGAACAGCGGTATAAATAATGGATGGAAGGATGGATGACTTCGCTCTTATTCTAGTACAATGTAAGTACATGGTAAATATAGAGAATGGCTAAAATAAAGACTGGATACAATTGAGGCATTCATTTGGTGAAATAAATTGTTTGATTTCAAAAAAAGAAAAGAATTAACAAAGACTACAGTCATGACAGCAACTCTGTGAGGCTTTGCTTTTAGCTAAAGGCTAACACAAGCATAGCAACATGCTAATGAGCTGATGCTTGAAGGAGTCTATCATGCTCACTGTCTTAAAATAAAATAAATCATTTTATCATGAACACATGATGATAATGCCAAGTACAGATGTGGCTGTTTGGAATGTCCCAAACCTTTAAACTGGTGGTTGGGATAGCTAAAAGGTTAGTGAATTGTCAACAGGTAATTCATCCTGTGGACAGGAGCTTGTGTACTTAATGTCAGTGCAGTCCGTCTAACAGTAATATTGGCATACGATGAAAAGCAATGGAATCACAAAACAACCTGGGCACCATGAATCTCTGAACCCATATTTTGACCAATCCATGAAGAAGATGATGTGATATTTCAATGGATTATAAAAAAAAAAACTATGACTAACATTGGGCATAAAAGGAAAACTAAGCTGTTGAACGCTCTGCTTGTGAACCAGACTCACATGCTGCTGTGGCTTTCTGTCTTGTGGAGGCAGCTTAATGAATGCAGCACTTTGGAGTCCTAGTGAAACTTTCCCAATGGGACAATCATATGTGTCGTATTGTAAAGAGGTGGAAATACTGCTTTAAATTGAACAAATACTGATTCACTCAGAATGGTACTAAAGGGAAACATTTTAGTAGATATAAGAACTGGGCCTAATTGACTGTTAATGAACACAATAATTGTATTTTGTATGTTAACACGTTATTTTGGAACATGAACATTTGTTTTATTAAATCATGTGTTGCAGAGGATTTACACATATTGAAGAAGTTTCCTGTGGGAATCATTTTTCTCTATTACATCACAAAGTCACTGAGTGTATGCATGCATTCAGTCCATCATCATCCACCTGTTACAGCAGGGCTGCCATGCTCTAACTGGTCTCAGCCAAACTTTCAGTCATCCTATCGACTTAGGCGCTGGAGCTGAGGCGGGTTTTAAGCCTCATGTCATACTGTACCGTTACATCAGGCCAAACTGTCAATCAGGTCAGATAAGTGCCAAACTATAGATAACAAGTAACGTTCATAAAATCAAAATAGATGCATTAAAAAAAAAAAAATCACCCCCCCATACATCGTGTGCCCATGACGACAATAGCTAATCAGAACTATGTTCTTTTTGTACCAGGCTGTAAACATGCTAACATGCTGCTGTATAAAATGGGAATTTTTGAATGTGGTGTGTATGTTACTTCCAGGACTCCTGGAGCCAGCCTCAAGCTGACCATCGACGAACTGCAGGATTTTGCACTTTTACATTGGCTTCATTTTCAACCCCGCAGGTTGCTGCTTGCTCCCAGGATGAAAGACTGACATTCAGTTAAACTTCTGTTTTGCCCCCCTTTTAGTAGCAGGCAAAGCCTTAAAGATCCAATATGTAAGATATTTACTGAATTTGATCATAAAGTGACCTTACTATATGATCAGACATTACGGAAACATGCTATGTTCAAGTGATGGCTTCTCTGACAACAATACAGCATGAATTATGTCCTCCTTTTAGGTTTTGATTTTGGTTTTGAATGTTTTTCCTTTTTTTTTTTTTTCGAAACTAGAGAAGTAGGCCGTTTTAAGATACAACCACACGGCCATTTTGTTCTCCCCTCGGTTAGCCAGGCAAACAAACCAACAGGTGTTGCAGCGATGAAAGTGTGAAAAGAACTGGTTCAGATAGAAGTGATTGTACCCGACCTAAAAAGCCTCTGCATGTTTCTAATAAGCTCCACGAGCAGAAACGTGCTCCAACTAGGATCAATATTGGAGATGTTTTTGAAAATTGCAGAGAGGTTAGAAGGCAGAAAGGTTTCAAAAACGATGCAGAGCTGGTTAAACACTGAAGCTCCTGTGTCCGCGACATAGCTACCTGCGTGAGCATCCACTTCAGGGAGAAGGGCCAGGGGGGAGACACCAGCTCCCTCCAATGTTTTCTATCTGGACTGCAGTACACTTTTTAAACGCTAGGTGTCAGAGTTACTCCTAATTGTTCTTTGAACTTTGGAAATCAGTGGACTTATTAATCATTAGGATGCAACATTTTAAAATTGAGCTTTAATACTGTGTGTAAGAAAGTTTCTAAAAATGACAGAGTCATATCCCTGCATTCATTTTTTTAAGGTCACTGACCTTGAATATATTGATCATCATCAAACTGCTATTGCTTTGGCATGGTAGTGCTATATTTGCGTACTCTGTTTTTCTGAAAGCTCCTTTTTTTATATGATTGAGATTAATGTGTTTTAAGATTTTTTTTAATTTTCGCACTCACCATAATACAAAAATGCATTAATCTTTGTGTTTTACAGTAGTTCAAAATATAAAAACCTAGATTGATTTGATGAAATTGGAGTACTCCAGCTTTTGTATTCAGCCAGGTTTTTGGATTTTCTTTTTCTTTTGTAATTAAAAATGCATGCCACATATTCACTCACATCCGCTGATGGGCGACCAATGAAGAAGAAAAAGAACTAATCAGCATTTTATCTGTTGCAGCAACAGAGTGAACACTCAATCCATTTCTCTGTCTTCTTGCACTTCCTATAAATCTATCATGTGTTGCTAGACCTGGTTTCTGTAGTGGATAGGGAGGTAACTAGAGCGATGTAGGCTGAGAGGGAAGAGGGGCAACTAGTTCATCATGTTAGCCTAGTTAGATGAAAGCAGAGAGAACGATATCCTCATTAAATCCTTTTTTCCACCTCTGTTTTGTGCTGTTTTTGTAATTTACTCAGTCTCTCCCTCTTTCCTCTCAGCCAGGCTCACAGGTTTTTGTCATGCTTACACAGAGAAACACAAGCAAACGTGTGTAATATCATTGTCAATACCTGTACAGCAAGGCTTTGTCATAATTGGTGCCTTTTGCAATCACTTTGGTTCACCAATTGCAGAAGAAAATGTCTTTTCACTTGGAGGAGTAGGATTAATAGATAAAGTGTTCATGCTGCTGTTTCTATGGTGAGAGAGAATATGGAAGTCAGCTTTATATGGGACAACTTTACATGCATACACAGATTTCCAGCACACGTTCTAAGACCGAGTATTTATGCCCCATCTTCAAGTCTTAGTCCTTGGCATTTCTTTGACATTTGGTGACATTTGTGGACACATGTTAACTGCTGGTTTTAGAGTTTATCAAAAATGGAAGTAGAATAGTGATGGCCAAATGTCAACAGGACCCACCATCTGGTGGTATGGCTTCAGATCTGAGGTTAAGTGTACTGTGACACAGTGTCATTATGGTCCCTTGTGCTGCTTCTTTTCTGAGGCACGTCGCTGCTTTGCAAGGTCTGCTATGTAGACACAATAAAACTTCAGTATTAGCAGATAACTTGAAGTTGTTTAAACTAAATCTAAGTGAGGTTAATCTTTTTGGGATAAAAACTCCCTAGGTATAGTAATATTATTTTTTAAAGTCATGTGAGGAACTTTAAGTTTGTGTTGTTCTCTTTTTCTCAGTTTTGTGCTTTCAGTCGTGTTTTTTCCCCAGCAGGAAGCAATTAATAGTCTGACATGTACGCCACAGCAGCAGCTTCATGCAAAAAAGAAATAATCAAATGTACCG